AGATGAATTTTCAGAAATTTTATCAAATTCTAAATTTTTGAGTATAATATTTTCAAACATACATTAATGATTGGTAATATTTGATTTTCAGGTTGGACCTTCGAAACAGGTCAATCTTAAACCTTCACGAAAGAGCAGTGAAGCAATTCAAACTTAAGCCTTCATGGAAGAGTTGTGAAGCAAATCATCATAAGCCTTCTCGGAAGAGTAGTGAAGTAAACTCATTTTATGAAGATCGAGTTCTATACTCTCTGATAGAATAGGGAGCGGACCCGTTTGTTGAAGATCGAGTTCTATACTCTCTGATGGAATAGAGAGTGGACCCGTTTGTTGAAGATTGTTCGAGTCCCATACTCTCTGATAGAATAGAGAGCGGATTCGTTTGTTGAATATTGTTCGAGTTCTATACTCTCTGAAGGAATAGAGAGCGGACCCGTTTGTCGAAAATTGTTTGAGTCCTATACTCTCTCAAAGAATAGAGAGCGGACCCGTTTGTTGAAGATTGTTCAAGTTCTATACTCTCTGAAGGAATAGAGAGCGAACTCGTTTGGTGAAGATTGTTCGAGTCTTATACTCCCTGAATGAATAGGGAGCAGACACATTTGCTGAAAATTGTTCGAGTCTTATACTCCCTGAAGGAATATGGAGCGGACCCATCATCCGAAGCTTTTTCAAGTTTCATTTATCCCGAAGTAACAGTGGAGTGCTTTAATCTTTTGAAGTTCTCATGGCCGGACAAATTTGACCATCTTTTAATCTTTGCTCTATTCTCGTTACACGACAATAAGCAAAGAGGGGCAACTGTAGATGTTTGATTTGTCCGGGGCCCATATCACTTGCAAATGAAAACAGTTTTGGGGGTTAAAAACCAGAAAAGAAAACGTGGAGGCCATTTCTTTATTTTTTCATCGTGGGTAATAAAAACTGAAATGTGCAGTTTTTACGTGGAGGCATTAACCATCAGAAATCATACAGATTGGGGGAAGAGAAATTTTTATTTGTTTTTGAAAACAAAGAAGAAACAGAGAGAACACGAAATAAAGGAAAACATTTCAACAAAAAAAATATACTAGCTATCAATAATTTTACAAGTGCAAAAGGAGTGCCAAAGGAAACACTATTGTAATCTTACAATTGAAAAACAAATAACGCAATAAAGGTATGTTTTTTCGAGGAATCATTCTTTAATTTCTTTATTTTTCCAGTTCTTTTTTATTGTTTTTTTTAATGTATGTGTGATTGTGGTTTAAAACTAAAATTTGAAAGAGATTAGGACATACCTAGCCTGCCCGAACACCAATGGTGTCTTGTTGATTCCATTCATTCTATGTGTTGGTTCTATTGTCAAGGAAAATGTGGGATTTAATTTAGAAAAACCAGAATAAAATAAAAAGAAGAGTGAAAGTGAGAATTTACCTTGGCCGAGCGTCGGGACTACTATCGGGGTTGAAGAGGTGAGTGGTCGAGAGATGAGGGAGACTTGGGTTAATTGCGTTTAGGATACGGTTTTGCTTCCCTTTCCGGTTCAGTGATGTTCGAAGGTGCAGAGAGAGGGTACCATTATGTGGTGGCCGACCATGGCTTTCGGCCATGTGAGCGAGAAGAGTCAAGAGTGATAACGGTTGCGGTGGTGTTTAAAGGAGGGTGGAGCGTCGAGTTAGAAACAAGGGAAGTGGAGAAAAAAGCTTGAACGGCTGAAGGCATTCATGTGTGCAATTTACTTAGGTTTAGTGTAAAGTTAGGTTTTGTATAATAATATTTTGGTAAATTAACTTTTGGCCACTCAGACTTTATGGTAAATTAGGTTTCAGTCCTCTTAAGTTTAGCCTTGTTTTGCATTTCCGTCACTTTTAAAGTCTGTTTTTGAAATTTAGCATTTTTAATTTGTCATGTTTTTGAATTATTTGAGCTACTGTTCATTTGAGTTTTCTTCTAAATTCATTTTAGTCCCTAATCGATTATTTTTCATGTATTTAATTTTGTCCTTTTATTTTGCCTGCATTTAATTTCGGTCCCAAATAGTATTGTTGTATCTAACTTTTATTGTTTTAGACATTTGAACTCAATTTTTTTATGTTACTTTTTAGTCCTTAAACATTTAGGATTAGTATTTTAGGAAAATTACATAGATACCATTTAATTTGGGTTATTTAGGTGTAGATCCCTTGTTTATGCGTGTTGTTTTATTTAAGTCCTTGGTTTAATTTTCGATTTGCATGTTTAATTTTATGTGTATTTAAATTTAGTCATTATTTTAACTTGAATATATATACTTTTTAATTTATAGTTTAGCATGTTATGATTTTATTTTTATATTTAGGTCACATGTATATATAATATGTTAATGTGCATAATTTTTAATTTTAATTTTAAAATGTATGTATATAATTTTTTGTATGTCACATTGTATGCTATTTTTTTTTTTGTTTAATTAATTTTAGCATGATATTTTTTCACAATTTGTATGATAGCCTCATTTGCATAACTCGACATATTACATAATTAGATTAAGGGTAATACCCTTTTAATTTAAAATTGTTGCAAGTGGGCAGTCATAACTGATTTGAGGTCCGCTTTTAATGATTTTAAAATAAAAGTGTATCCCGAAAGTGAAACTAAAAAATTGATTCGTCACCTAAAATTTGGGAACGAGAGAAAAAGAAATGTTCGTTTATTTAAATATATCGAGAAAAGGTTGTTATATCTTTAAGATCTGGTCTCGATATTTGTAAATAATCGAACATTCTTTATCTTTCTAAAACGACTTGGTAATTTTAATTTAATTTGTTTGAGTGTTGTTGAATGTTTTTTAAATTTATATCTTTGTTTTATGGGATCAAAAATCAAATTAAGTTCGAATTTGTAAAGTTCATTGCAAAAATGTTAATTAATCGATTAGGTATCGATTTAGGGCGTTGTGGGGGTGCTAATCTTTCCCCACACGTAACCGACTCCCGAACTCGGATTTTGGTAACGCAGACCTCAATTTGTTGTTTTAATTAAAATTAATTTTTATTTAAAATGACAAAGCATTTTTGGGTGCCCAATCACACCCTAATCAAAGATTGGTGGCGACTCTTTGAACCGTATTTTTCGATCGTAAGGGAAATCCAAAAATTTTTGAAACGAGAGGTCTTTTAAATCGCATTTGTTTTTAAATTAAAAAGAGATAATTAAGAATTTATGTGATTTTTTAAAATCTCACTTTTTCACCTTTAAGAAAAAATCGTTTCGACACTGTGATTTCTACAAAATATTAACTAAAATTGCCAAAGAAACATGGGTTATTGGAGGAATGAAAGACCCATTGTCCAGAAGTCGAAGTTGGGAGAGCTGATAACGATGATCCCAATGACTTAATTCTCTCTTTTTCTTGTTCATTTCATAAAGAATAAAGTTTTCTCCGTGCTTTAACTTTGAATTTCGATATGAATGATTTAGAATAGTGTATCTTTATCACAAATATGTTTCCTGAGTTATTTGTTTCAGTTCCTTTTGATATTGAATTGCAGGCTGTTCTTCACCTCCTTAGATTTAAACAAGTTATGATTTAACTCGTCAAAAGCTTAAAGTTATGAGCTTGACAATGAAAATAGAACTCAAGCTTAAAGTGATTCTAAATCATAATTTACGGCTACATAGATTTAAACTATTCAAAGTATCTTTGCCCATCGTGCTTTTCATCATTCTCCACCACCTTTTTCTCTGTCATTATCACTGGCCACCATTAAACTTTTGGAAATGTCATTAGAAAATATATCAAGTGTAATTTTTGTAAAATAAAATTAGATACTTTTTTTTTACTTTATTTGGATCAAATGAAATCGTATATTGTTGACGTTTGTGTTTTGTTTTTCATATTCAAGATGTTATAAATCTATATAAAGTTTTATGTTGTAATGATTTATTTATGTTGATTTGGTCATCTTTAGGTGTTCTTAATATTGTGTCAATGTTATTCATTCGTTACATTTATATTCATATTATTTATGTTTAGAGAATTATAAATTGGATGTATTTTTATATACTAATAATTCACTTCATGTAAATTTAAATATTTTCGTACATTTGAATTCATTAAATGATTTTAATGATTAAATAAAATATTGTTTTCTCTTGAGATTTTAGATTCAAATAGTTATACCGAGTGTGTACGCATTCTCAATAATTAAGAATGATTTGAATATATATTACCTTATAATTATCATAAAATATTATATATATATATATATATATATATAATTGTATTTGTGGTGTTCTTATATTATTTTTTTTATAGTGTATTGTTTGCATAAACTATCATAATGACTTAATTTACATAATAAATTGTGACTATGTCGTATTTAGGTAAATTACGAGTTTAATACTTAAATTATCAGTTTTAGTATATTTTAATATCTAATTTTTTGTTTCATTTTAGTACCCCGCCATTAAAAACTTTAGTTTTTGTTTCATTTTAGTACCCGTTCGAAAGTTAACGTTAAATTTTGAAAATATTAAAAGTTTAGGTATTAAAACGAGCCAAAATTGATAGTTTAAGTATAAAACACGTTAAATTTTTAACAGCGGGTAGTAAAATAAAATGAAAACTAACCGTTAGGTATAATTTTTTAAAAAAAATGAAAGTTTAGATACTAAAATGAGCTAAAACTGATAATTTAGATACTAAATGCGTAGTTTACCCTGACGTATTTGTATTGTATTATAATTTCTCATATTTTACGTAATATTTAATAGGGATCGACTTTGAGGGAAAAAATAAACCTCATACAATATCAATCGAATTAGTTTGTCTAAAACAGTATGAAATCGTTATGAATAATACTAAAATAATAAAAAATAATTTTAAAATTTACAATTTTCAAACAACATAATTATAACAAATATTAATTTTTTGCTAAAATAATAAACAAATGTTATAATATAAATTTGAATACCTATAAAGTTTAAGACTACAAATTCAATACTTAATTTTTCCCACGCTGTTTATACGAGTTTATTCAAACAGAGGCCTTAAACTCTCGAGCAAGCCGTTTGTTGAGGTGGACGCGAGCCTCAAACAATGCCCTGCCTACTTCATCATCTCGAGGGGTTTCCCTTATCAATATCTCATAATCCTGGATTGCCACTTCCCATCTCCCTAGCTGCTTTTACATATATAACAAATGGTTTGGTCAACAAATATTCAAGACCAATCTTTGCTTCAGAAAAAGGGCCTTAAATTATTTACCTTGCCATTACAATCAGCTCTCCTTAGCCTTGCCTTGCTGTAAGAAGGTTGCACCTTAAGCGCCACTGTGCAATCCTCAATGGCCTTTTCGAATTGGCCTAGCTTAGTTCTACAGGCTACTCTGTTGCATAGCAGAACTGAATTGTATGGATCATTCTCTAGTCCTTTACTATACACAACGGAAGCCTCCGAGAATTTCGATGCCTTGAATAGCAAGTTACCGCTCAATCGAGCTGATGATACTGCTCTCGTCTGCTTTACCACTAGTGTTATTTCTTTGTTGTGTGGATCGAGTCTGGCAGCAAGCTGAGCTGCTGATACAGCATCATCTAACCTATTATAATCAGATCAAGTCCATTGTTAACTTCTTGGTTCCGGTGAATTCTATATTCCAAATATATTTACAGAAACCAATTACAGAGATTTCTTTCTACTAACCTGCCAGAAACAATATAGACCAGTGCTTTGATCATTAAAAGATAAGCACTCACAGCCATACCGAAGAAATTAATACAAGATTCAACTGCGAAATTCGGTCCTTTGCTGTGGGATGTATAGGCTTCTTGATGCCTGTGGAGCTTCAGAAAGGCCTCTGTTTGAAGAGCATAAACCTGGTGAAGATCACAAAATATGACCTTGAACATTTTCAAGTAACTAGATGCTGCAGATGTTAAAAGGATACATGTTTAAACAATAAAAAGAACTAACCACAGGTGCAGAATCAACTCCAGAGGTTATAGCACATTGAGTCTCCTTAAGTAGAGTATTCCATTCCTTCGATTTTTGAGCCTCAGCGCATCTTTTAAGGCAGTGATCGAGAGACCGAGCTTTAGCAATGTCGTCGGGGTCGGCATGATTTCCAGCGTATTTGTAGTGATCCATTGCTTCTTTTACTTCTCCCAATCTGCATTGGAAAATTCAGATAATCATATAGAAAACTGCAAGCAGTACTAATTTCAAATTTTCTTTCCGCTGATGATCATATAAGGCTGTTCTTTACATGAACCTATGGAATGTTGTTACCTGAGATAAATTGTTGCCAAGCGGTGATGAGCTCTGCAATATGTAGGATCAAGCTGAATAGCTTCTTTGCACTCAACAACTGCTTCGATAGCATGGCCTAAACGTAACAAGGCAGCACTCTTATTACAATAGTATGTCGCCTTCTTCGGATCGAGGCATATTGCTCGTTCGTAAAGGGTCAGTGCCTCTTCAAACCTTCCCTGATTGTATGCCTCGTTTCCCATCATCTTCAATGCCTCAGAATCCAATCCACGAAACTGTTTCAATACGACACTCGGCTTCCTTATGATATTGCCCATAGGAGAAGCCGTGGCCGGAATAAGAGCTTTGGTGTTGTTTGGTTTTTGTTTCTGTAACTTTGTATCACATGTCAAGTCTTGTGACAGTCTCATTTGAGTCGAAGCAGAAGAGGATGATGCTGAGCTTCGTGCAGGATATAAGGATGTTCCACCGTCTTTTTTCATGTGAAAACTCGAAACCAAATTCCGAGGTTGTAATAAATCGGACATCCTGGCTTGTTTCATGGGGACAGAATCAACTGAGCTGTTACGTCTCCTTCCGGATCCATTGATCGATGGTTTCTTAGACTTAACCGTGGCAGGTTCCTTCAGAACCTTGTCGACGCCTTTCACAGGCAAGGCAGGGAGTGCTGATTTTCTCGACCACTTGGTGCATGGCTGGAAAATTCCTCCCATTAGACCACAACCCAAATCATGCTCCATTGAATACTTTGTCATTTAATAACTATAAATGCATGTACAAAGAATGAACTCGAAGATTAATAAATGAAAGAAATGGAAACATGCAAGAATAAACAACTTGAAGATTATAAAGGGAAAAACAACAAGAGATGGGTTGAAAGTGAGGGATTCAATGTAGGCTGGAAGATGTATTTATATCAATTCACTGCCCTCCACTGTGGCTTCCAAGAAACCAACTTTATCTTTATATATAGGAACAAACAGGGGGATGTATTCAACCTGCAAACATTTCTAAAAAATAAGTGCCAAAAAGAATGTCTTTGTTCATTAGTTGAGAAATTATTATGATTTGTTAAAATAAAACAAAGAATCCAAACAATACATTGTGGTGGTCCCTCGTAGATTTAATAAAGGAGTAGCTGAGATGCTTTGTTTTAATAACCAAATTCCAAGCAGTTGCCCTTTTTCTTGTAGTTCTATTATATGTCTTTTCAAATTTGGCAATTTGAAATGAAATTAAAGATACTTTGACCAACATCAGCCAAAGCTAGGGGAAAAGAATACCAGATATTGCTTAATCAAGAGGCATTACGGGTATACTGTTTTGGTGGTTAGTTAAATTTAAGTGTAAACTACATCAATAGTCACTAAACTTTTAGGATACTTTTATTTTGGTCACCGAATTGTTAAAATTATAATACAACCACTAAATTTTTAATTCACTTGCATTACGGTCATTTCTGTTAAAAGGATATTGAGATGACATGTTAGAGGCATCATATTTCCAAAAAAACAAAAATCTAAGTTTCTCAAACTAATTGGTAGTTGTTGGCCCCTTTCTTCTGCGTCATCGTCTGACGTTATTTTGATCGTCGTCATCACTAAATATAACATCCTCCATACTTGAGAGATTCATCATCTTCTTATGACTGTCAAACAATTCATCACCGTGGTTTCATCCAGTTTTTCCCATCTTCCTATCACGGAACAATTTTGACTAGGTTTCTTGAGCTCTAAGATACAAAAGAAAAAAAATCTAAAGGAAAGAGTGCACTACTGAAAATTCAATGGTGAAATTCGAACTAAGTCATATTGAGAACGCTAAGGAAGAGCAAAGCATGTTTAGTTCCAATCTTGAAACTGGAAAAACAAAGAATAACAAATTAAGCTTCCATGTTGCAACCTTGATGTTCAATGCAAACAAGATTTATGGATATCCAATAGTATCTAGCACAAAATGATAGATGTCGACTCTATCTTTTAACGAGATTTCTAATTATTAGAATTTTTCAAAAGATCACAAAAATAGTTTGATGAAAATAAAATGATTTTAATTTGTCATGTCATCATTTCTTGATGACGGCGATCGTAGTGAAATCGAATTAAAGTTCAATGACTATATTATAAGTTTTAAAAGTTTGATGACCAAAACACAGATAGCTTAAAAGTTTGATGACTATTTATCCTAAGTTTTAATTCAAGTGGTTTCATTTATGATAAGGGGTGTTGGTTGCAGACTAGCAGTTGGTATTTTGTTGGTGTTTAAAATAAGGCTTAATACTAAAAGAAGTGCCCAAACTATAATGCTTTCCTAAATAGGTTTTTATTTTTTGACTCATTCATTGCCAAATGTTACAAACGCTACCCATTTAGGTGTTCGGACCATTAACGGCGTTAATTTCTCCCGTAAAGGACACATGTCACAATCTGTTTGCAATCTTGATGTTCAATGCAAACAAGATTTATGGATATCCAATAGTATCTAGCACAAAATGATAGATGTCGATTCTATCTTTTAACGAGATTTCTAATTATTAGAATTTTTCAAAAGATCACAAAAATAGTTTGATGAAAATAAAATGATTTTAATTTGTCATGTCAGCATTTCTTGATGACGGCGATCGTAGTGAAATCGAATTAAAGTTCAATGACTATATTATAAGTTTTAAAAGTTTGATGACCAAAACACAGATAGCTTAAAAGTTTGATGACTATTTATCCTAAGTTTTAATTCAAGTGGTTTCATTTATGATAAGGGGTGTTGGTTGCAGACTAGCAGTTGGTATTTTGTTGGTGTTTAAAATAAGGCTTAATACTAAAAGAAGTGCCAAAACTATACTGCTTTCCTAAATAGGTTTTTATTTTTTGACTCATTCAATGTCAAATGTTACGAATGCTACCCATTTAGGTGCTCGGACCGTACGGCGTTAATTTATCCCGTAAAGGACACATGTCACAATCTGTTAGTTTTGAAATTTATTTTTTAAAAATATTAAAAATACTATGATATTTATAAAAAAAATTAACTTTTCTTATATTATAAAATAGCCCTAAAATCCCAAATCTTAACCTTAATCCACCGTAGCCGCCCTTTCCAACCACGATCACTGCCACTGACGTAGTCCTTGTCGTCCTCCTACTCATACGTCATTGTAGTTTCCATCGATTAGCCGTGGGAATCGCGTGGGATCGCGATTTTTATCTTAAGGTTCAGAGAGTATAAAACGTTGATTCATCGTTGATCGACCATTGATCAGTCACGATTTCAAGTGGGTTTGGTCGTCGGGTGGAGCTTCGTCGATGGCAAAAGGCAGCGGCCGACATGGGTTTAGGGGTTGAAATGAAAGTTTTCAAGGTTTCGGGTTTATTTCAAAATTTGTGTTTTTTTTAAACATATATGTAATTTTATTTTTTAAATTTAAATATTTTTTAAAATTATCAAGTTATGACACGTGTCACTTAACGGAAGAATTAATACTGTTGAAGGCCCAAGCACCTAAGTGGGTAATGTTTGTAACGTTAGGCACCGAGATGAGTAAAAAAATAGTTTAGATACCTATTTGAAAAAAGATGTATAGTTTAAGTACTTATTTCGGTATTAAGCCTTAAAATAAATTCGAAAAAATTAATTGATCCTAAAGATGCATGAAGACATGGGTCTAACCCCTACATATTCCTCTTCTTGCCTGCTTAATATAAGTCGGTGCCGGCTCCTTCGCAGTTGACATTTGTCCTCCAAGACCCACCTGCTTGAGACGGCAGTTTCAAATTGAATCTATCAATTGATGTCATAGACGTATATTTGATTATTTTTTATCATTATAAATTTAAGGGTAAAGGACATAAATTGTCCCTTGACTATAGACTATTATTTTATTAAGTCTTCTAACTATTAAAAATTATAAAATAGTCCTCCAACTATTCATTATGTTTCAAACTCATCCTTTTCCGTTAAAATTTTGACAAAAATATCAGGTTTACGTTAACCTGCTGATTGATATATGATAAAATATGATATCATAATCTCATACGACTATCATATATCAATCAGTATGTTAATATCCAACTCAGATGATCATTAATTTTTATCGGAAATTAACGAATTTAAAACATAATAGATAGTCGAGTGATCATTTTTTAACTTTTAATATTCGAGGGACTCGATAAAGAAACTCTCTATAATTGAGGGATCATTTTATAACTTTTAATAACCAAGGGACTCAATAAAATAGTATCATATAGTTAGGGACCATTTATATATATTTTTTTCTGTAATTTTAAAATGAATAAGATAAATAAGACAATATTTGATCTCATAATTAACAAAACTTTGTGTACATTTCGGGTACCTTCATTTATTTATTCTAAGTACAGATTAATCTTATCGTAAAGTGAAGGTTTAATAGTGTTGTAGGTGATCGTAAAGTGAAGGTTTAATAGTGTTGTAGGTGATTAAATTTCCCATTTACTTGGTTCTCAATTAATTAATACTTTGGAGCATAGGTTTAAGCAATTGTAATAATATTATGATATTAGGTTTTTAAATGATTAATATTTATTAGGCTTAATATAAAAAAACGTATAAATTATATATATTTTTATTTAGGTGTCTAATTTTTTTTATTAATTAATGTGTAATGTTATAAACATTATCATTTTAAATGTTTTAGTCGTAATTGACATTAAAAAATTTATTAAGTAACATATGTCACATTTAAGAAATTTAATTTATTTAAAAAATAAATTTATATATTTTTTGATAAGTCATGTTCATTCCATATAATATCCAAAAGAAGCAGCAAAGATGCACAAAGAACCAATAACAAGGCACCAACACATACACAATTACCCAAACCAACCCCAACAAGCAAAGAGAGAGAGAAAAAAATCCCCCACTAAAGACAATGCTGCACATTCACCCTATCTACTCTGTTAATACATCATCTCTGCAATGTAGTACAAACAATCCTCCTAATGCATTCAAACACATCATCAATTAAATGAAAGGATCCTCTAAATAACAGGTAGTTATGCTCCTCCCAGATAAAGTAAAAAAACTAGTCCATGTCAACTTTAAGATGTATACAATGAGGAGTGTTTTGTTCAATGATTGTGAGATTTTCATCCGGATTCTTATATTTGGTTGGTTGGGAATCTCATTTTCGGTAATATTTTATTATCAATAGTAGATTTTTTGGGATATATTATCAGGAATATCATTACCTCTCTTCCCTTAGGTATTGTAACATTACCGGCATTTTGGACTAAAATGCCCTTAAATTATTATTTTTTTCAAAAATATCATTCTTATGTCATTGAATAATAAAAATTCTACGAAAGTTAAATTACAAATTTATCCTTAAATTATTTTAGATTTACAAAAAAAAATCTATAATTAAAATTTTATATGAAGTTCAGCAGTTAAAAAAATTTTACCCTTTCATTAAACATTTTTTATATTTTTAATTTTGTAAAAAAATATATATAAATATTATGAATTTAATTTTTTAAAGAAAATATATAAATATTTTACAATTTGTAATATTATACAAATATATAATAAGGATAATTTGGTTAAATATACATTCCAATAATCTTTTATTCCTTTAACCAAACACGGTAATCTTATATTCCTACTAAACAAATCAAACACAAAATACAACATTCCCAGTAATCCTATTCCCTGATAATCTTTTATTCCCACTGCTAATCTTATATTCCGTGAACCAAACGCACTCTGAGGTACTTCCTTTTAAAGCTCTTCATAGTCAAAGCCAAATATCCTCCCAGCACATCAACCTACAAGGCAACCTACACACATACATTATC